ATCGTCACTACCAGTCGTTTCTTTCAAGTTCTTCCCCGAAGAAGCGGCAATACGTGAAGACCGGCGCATAATCGAGTGAAGGTGGTGATGGTGGTCGGTGGTCAAAGGCAGGCGTGACCTTCTCACGGGCCGCCTGCCCGTTGCGCGATGAGTCACATGATCGCGCCAAACGGGACCGAGCCGCTTGCACGTGCCGTCTGGGCTTTGTCCACACGCGCGCGTGCCACCGTGAAGTTTGCCCTCACTGTTGACCCAGCACTCCTTTTATTGGCCACTCTATACCTCCAGGATGCTTGGCGATGATGTCTGTACCGCGGCTGACACCCATAGCAGGCCGACGGACGAGCCGCAGCCCTTGACCGGCGGTGCGCATGCAGACGCCTCGCAGCCTTCTAAGCGTCGTAGGCAGGCGGAAGCTTCAACCACTAGGCAAAAGAGGCGCTCCAAGAAACCCAGAAAACTTGGAAGACTGCGGCAGGTGATGGATCTACCGGTTGACCTCCTATACGAAGTGCGTGCCACTCATGCCACCGAGCATGAAACCTCGATGCTGATGACCTACTTATTATTCATGCAGATCTTTCAATACGTCTGGCCTCCATCTCTGCTCAATCTCTCGCGTGCGACCAAGGCCTTCCGCAACCTGCTCATGAGTCGATCCGCGAGGCATATCTGGCAAAGCAGCCTGGCTCGCGTGGACGGTCTACCTCCAGTCCCCACCGACATGACCGAGCCAGAGTACGTCGACTTGTTGTGGGGAACGGATTGTCGTGTAAGTAATTGCTCTATATTCATGCCGCCAGTCTGCGATACTCATCAGAGGACTTAGTTCTGCGGCCTGACGTCGGCTAAACATGTTCACCTGTCTTTGTTCATGCGCATACGCTATTGCAGGGAATGTGCACGTAAACAGTGAGTCTCTGTCAACGTATGCCAGCTTCCTATGTCGCTGATTATGCGCCTCAGCTTTGCTCCATACTGCGACGTGCGGGACAGGTTTGGCCTGCTGGCCAGCGTGGCACCAGACGATACATCCCTGGCCAAAATGCTGCCATATGTTCGACTAGATGTCCGTTTCGGTGAGCAATACCCCTATGCCACTTTGCCAAATCCCGTATTGACTTGAAAAGGCCGAGATACCCTATTTTTCTTTCTAGACATGGTGCAAAGGAGCGATGAGGAGCTGCACCTTCTTGCGGCAATTGCAGAAGATCCCCAAGCGGTACAGAAGTGGTTCGCCGCAAAGGAAACTGATTTCGAGCGCTGGAAGAAGGTAAGTGCCACCGCTGTATCTTCTCAGGCTCTTTGTCACCTCTAACTCCCTGACTATCGTTCTCTCGCATAAAAGCATGTACGCCTTTGCGAAGACTGGTACTACGATGAAGCGGACGCTGCAGACGAAGATCGGGACCTAAGGCGAGACCGTCGGCAGAAAGCGTACGTCCCACGATGCCGTGCCGCAGTTCCTGTCCGCTCATTGCTTTAAAACAGCATAGAGCAACGTTTGACAGATCTGGGATGGGGAGACGAGCTCGCCAAGCTTCCCGAGGGCGCGCTCGGGGAGCAAAAGTCCGTACGAATCGTGACGCCTTTGTCAGCGCGAGGTATGTGGTCGATACACCGTCTGATTGCTGAATTCTGACTTGGTCCATAACAGGATGGCTCTCCATGAAGGATAGACTCGTCTCCTTCTTAACGCACGCCCGAGACGAACGTCTCGCCAAAGAAAAGGCTGTAATCACGAATGCGCGACGTAAACTTCTGAAGACTGTTTATCCCGATTTCTGCCGCTCGAAGCCATTCAGAGCCATTCTTCCCGGTGTCGGCGACCTCGTAACGGCGCCCGCTATCGTACAGGTCTTTGACGAGGCTCCTTGCGGCACAGAACCATCTGCAGCATCTCTTCTGAACGCTCTTGCCACCATTCCTCAGTCGTTCTTTGACGCGTGGAGAGCTCGCTGCGAGCAAGAACTAGTCGCCCTCGCGCAAGAATGTCTCCAGAATAACCCTGCCCTGAAGCAAATCCTCGAAATCGACAGTGTGACCGCGAATGACCTCCGCCTCGCTACCTTGGTCTTCTGTCCTCGCAACATGCTATCATGTACTCCATACCCCGACATCCTCAACATGTCGTATTTCCACGAAGATGATCGCGAGCAACCGTGGAGCGCCAAGAATATAGACCTCAACGACTCAGCACCACATCCACGGAGCGCGCTGCCTGATTGAGCTTGCGGGAAAGGATCCGCGCACGACATCCGTTGCGGATATGCAGGAATTGGATCCTTGGTATTACTCTACAGGCAGACTTTACGGCGGAAAACGGGCCGTTCAGTCATGGCGTTCTCAAGTGCGTTACACTTACTACGCCTTTTGTTTTATCGGCAGACCGCTTTATTTAATATATAGGTCAGTTCCTGTTTCTACATCCCCGGCAAGCTCGCTTTGCTGGGCCCCGAAGACACCAGCATCGCTCGTCAGCGTCTCGGTCCGGACCCGTTCTTCATCTGAACCACTGTATGATCATTTGCGCGACGCGTGAGCTGCACGGTTCTCTTCCCAAAGCCATGCACTGATGGGTCCCCGGTCATTCAGACACGACGTGCTTCCAGTAACTAAAGAAGACTTTGTTTCTGGGTTTTCCTTCAGTACGCTGGTGCCGATAGTGATTGGTCCACCCCGAGAGATTGGTCCACCCCGAGAGGCAGGACATGTAGAGCGTACCGCGCCGTAGCTCGCATGTAGGACCGAGTCGTAGATTGCACGTAGAACCGAGTCGTAGATCGCACGTAGAACCGAGTCGTAGATCGCACGTAGAACCGAGTCGTAGATCGCACGTAGGACCGAGTCGTAGCTCGCACGTAGGACCGAGTCGTAGATCGCACGTAGGACCGAGTCGTAGATCGCACTTAGTACCGCCGCGCCGTAGCACGCAGATGGACGTACAAAGCAAGATCACGGCACGAGTTGAGAGACCCGCGCGAGCATAGCCTGGCGAGCGCAACCTCGGAGGGATTCCCAGCGCGGTACTTACATTGCATGAACAAGCAGTAGGGCACGTAAATGAGCGTAGGGTAGTTGTGTATCATCGTCTCCTGCAATCTGAACCGCCGGCGCTGGGCGCGAAAGACGTGTCCGGCGGCGCGAAAGACGCATCCGACGGCGCAAAAGACGTGTCCGACCAGCAAAGAGCAGACAGTAAGATGGTGAGGATCGACCGGCCATTCGTAGAGACGTCGGCGACTTCTATCTCTCCTCGTCGTCATCCTTCTATCTCTCCTCCTCTTCGTCACTTCCCACCTCTTCATTCTTCAGCGCCAGCTTCCACAACCCGCTAGTACACGAGAGCCCATCTGTGTCTCGTAAATTGCCGAAGCTGAAGTCCGGTAGGTTGCCAAAGGTGTAGAGCGCCTCGCCTGGTGGTCCAGCATCATCAGAGGAAAGAGGCTCCTCGATGACCATGGCGTAGGCTAGGTCGATGTCCATAGCGTAGGCCAGGTCGACCAGCGAAGTCCCATCTACAGCCGACGGCGAAGCCAAACCATCATCCGGCGAGAGATCGTTCCCAGAGTCGTAGTCGCCCAGCATAGCGGCGTCGATCCCGCCTAGCATAGCGTCGATCGAGCCTGGCGCAGAAGCCGTACGACCGAAAGAGGTGGCGGCCATATCCAGCGTACTGCCATCATCAGAGTCCAGCTCAAGTCGCCAGAGTTCGTAGGCGCACACAGACTCGTCGGTGTCCGGCAAGCTGCTCGGGACACGTGAAGCGGAGTCCTCGTCCAGCGATTCAGCGTCTTCGTCGGAGCCAGTATCTTCGTCGGAGCCAGTATCGTCGTCGAACCAGCCAGACTCGCCGCCAGAACAGTGATGAGCTCGATGAGGTCCACAAGACCCGTCAATAACAGCACTGGAAGAGTTCCAGCCATCGGAAAACGTGCTTGACATAGGGGAGGGAGTACGATCTCTGGCGGGATCCAGTGCAGTGTCCCACGTCGCGTGCTGCATGATGGCATATAGGCTCGAGCGGTGTACCACGACAGCGAGCTCCTCCTAGAGAACATATGTCAGCATCAGAAGGAGGAAGAGTTACAGCGAACGCACATCGTCGATGAAAGCAGACACGTCCTCCCACACCTCAGCCTCGCAGTCCATATCCCGTCCGAACTGCACGAATCCCCGCCATCCACCCGTCTCTTGATCTTGCCGCGGTGATCCTGTATCCTCAATGTGCAGCTCGCCAATCAGATTCGCGCGCTCGGGCGGGTCGTGCAGTGCGGCGTCGTAGTCTGAGGAGTGACCCTTCCCGTCTAGGGTACCCGATGTCCTGATAGGCGCTTCGCTGCGCCGATGCAGACCTGCGCAGTCAAGGATGAGGGAAGAGCCATCGGTGTAGTCGAAGAAGTCGTCGGAGGAGTATCTCAAGGGCGAGCCGGAGCCTTGCCTATGGAACGGAACGATCGAAATGGCGTCGTCCAGCGTCGTGCCAGCGCATACATTCCCTCCACTAGCATCGCGACGTGTCCCATCCGTGGCGTCCAGCGTGTTTGCCGTCGCCTTCATAGTCATGGAGCTGGCCAGCGTCCGGATCGTCATGTGGCGATTGGAGTGAAGAGAGCGAGGACTGAGGAAAGCACAGCTCTGAGCTGCCACGGCGAGAGCGAGAGGGTAGGAAGGCGATCAACGCGTAGCGAGAAGACGATCAACGTCGGTAGGGACACAGGCAACGAAAGTTTAAGGAAGGAACGGTCTACGTTCGGATTGAGGAGACGACGAAGGAAGGAGGCAGGAAGGAGGCGGACCGAAGATATCGCGGTGGTCAAACAAACTTCGCCGCCGAGCCATCCGCGGAAACGATGTCAGGGGCGACTGACAGGCCGCCCTGGGACTCTTGGGTTACTCTCTACAAGCAGGTCCAGCACTGGTCCAGCAAGTTGAACTTGCAAGCGCACGTCAACATGCACGGGCCCAAGAAAAATAGAACTCGGCAGATGCAACCCTAATGGATGTTGGGAGGATCGAACTCCCGGCCTTTCGCATGAGCGAATGCAAAGCGAACGCGCTACCACTGCGCTAAACACCCGTGCTGATCGTAAGGAGGTGCACAATTGCAAGACGCATTGCTTTAATATTGTGCGCATCGTACTTACAGGAACATGTGGAGTTCATCGTACAAGAATAGAGAGCCCAGTCCAAGCAATGTCGTCCAAATTACTCGATCAATACACGCCACCACCTCCAGAGCTACGCCTTTCCATGATAGCGACGCCAGACGATCTGCCATCCCCATCAGCTCTCGCACAATCATGCTCTCCCAAGTCAGAATGAAACCACTCACGTCCCAATTCGCGACGCGCCCGCCTCGAACATCTCCTTACACTTCTCGAACGTCCTGATCCCCGCGCTCGCCTTTACCTGCACCCCGCGGTCGCGCACCGTCTTCCACATCAGCCTCACATCCGCCGCGCTCGCGCCGCCGCCCGCGAAGCCCGTGCACGTCTTCACCCACTTCGCGCCCGCCTCCGCCGCGATATGCGCGCCGGCGACCTTCTGCGCGTCTGTGAGGAACACGGTCTCCAAAATGACCTTCACATCCGCGGGCGCGGCCGCCTCAACCACCGCGGCGACGTCCGCGTAGACGGTGGCGAAGTCGCCCGCTTTCAGCGCGCCGATGTTGATCACCATGTCGACCTCGGCGGCGCCGTCGCGTACGGCTTCCGCGGCCTCGCTGAGATAGATGGAAGGTGTGAGCGAATATGGGGATGGGCGTGGGGGGAAGGGGGACCACGCACAAAGCTTTCGCGCTCGCCTTGCCTGCGCCGTGCGGGAAGCCCACCACGGCACAAGGCACGGTAGTGGACCCACGCAGTCGCCTGGCTACGCGTGGGATATAGCCGCCGTGCACGCATACCGACTACACATACGCGCCCTCTAAGCTCAGCCTGGAGACGAGGGAGCTCGAGGGGGGGATGCGCTCACCTTAAACCCATGCCTCACCGCCTCGTCGCAGACCCCGTCGATCTGCTCGGGCGTCGCGTCGGGCGCGAGTATCGTGTGATCGATCGCGCGCGCGACCTCGCGCTCGGGCGCGCCGAGGGAGAGCGCGGTGAGAGGCTTGGTGTTGTCCGAGATGACGCGCCCCAGCTTGAGCTTGATCATCCCATCCCACTCCGTGTTCGTACGCGACGCAGGGAGCGCAGGCGTCGCCATCATCGCGGAAGAGGGCATCATCGCGGAAGAGGGTATGTCGCCGAGGGTATACCGGTCGTCGTGGGAAAGGGAAGCGGTGGACGTGGAGGAGAACAGGAGGGCAAGGCTAAAAGGTAAAACGGTCAAAGGGCGGACGAGGGGTCGACGTTTAGAGCAGGAAGGGGAACCCGCGGGCTCGATGTAACGGGGCACTTCCCTCAAAAAACTGCTGGCGGGGTAAGGAGGGGGGAAAGTAGCGCCGCTGACGCCCCGCTGGAGTATATAGCGCCAGCACATGACGCCGAAGGTTGCGTGTGGGCGCTCGACGCGAATGCCGACGCGAAGCACGCGCGGTCGCGCGTCCCATTGGCTTGGGAGAGCCTACTTCGTCGACGCGGGTGAGACATCCTGATCCAACCTCGTCGCCCTCGCGCAAGTGATGCGTCGCCGGGGCAGCTGATCAGTGATCTCCCATCGGGGGCGCTTATCCACGGCGCTGCACCCAACTTGAACTGGTCGCCTCCAGGTCGCTGGCTGCACGCCGTCCTCCCAGGCTGGCTCATGCACCGTCCTCCCAGACTGGCTCATGCACGCCCTCCTCCCAGACTGGCTCATGCACGCCCTCCGAGGCTTGGAGGACCGTGAGGCCGGGCGAATATTGAGGTACCTGTCCTCCTATTGTGCACGATGCGTGCTCCTATAGGGCCAATGCCTGCGTGCTCCTATAGGGCCAATGCGGCGATGGGCCAGGAACTTCCGCTAGTAGGGGAGAAAAGGCGGATCGATAGGGCCTCGGGACGCGAGGGGTATTGGATCCGGCGTGTGAGCTATGGCTTTTCCTGAACGGGCATAATGGACGATCAGAAGGAGTGAAGGGTCAGAGTCAGGGGAGAGGCGCGGCCCCGTTGGCGCGATCTGTATGGATGAAGTGCTCGTGAATGACTGAGGCACTATCCGGACTGCAAGGCGACGGGCCGCCGGGCTGCTGGTAGTATGCGCGCGCTGCTGAACCGTCGTTGCGAGCTCTACTGTATGAGGGTCTTGAGAGAGGCGTTCTGAATGCCCGTCGATGGTCGACGGTCTCAACGAGCGGCTGCAACGCCGGCTGATCCCGCAAGGCATGCACAATCACAAGGATGTAGCGCGTCCCTAATAACCGAACGTTGCCCATATAATGGGAGTAGGAGTGTATAGCGGTGTCGTTGCTTTCCCCTGGCTTTCCCCTTCCTTCCTTCCCCGTCTCTCTCTCTGACATGCCCTCAAAGCATTTGAGCTCTGACTGTAAGTACCCTGCTCAGTGGGGCAGCCGATCCTTCTAGATGCATCAATGGCTCCAGACTCCAAGACAGTACGGGATACAGTGGCACCACACGGGAATTAGACCCATTCTCGAGCACAACATCTCCGAAGGCCGTACGACCTCCATATTCGCGCGTCAATGCGTATCACTGTGCACACTGCAGACCACAAGCAATCTCCGGCCATCGATGGTCGAGCTATCCTGGATATTCAGAGGATCCACCAATTGCCAAGAGGAGTGAGGGTATATGCAAGATGAGCGTCGTGGTGGTCAAAGGGCGCGCAAGATGCTTGAGCCTCGATAGGGTGTTCACCCGGCTCGACAACAAGTTGAAAGTCGGTGGTACGGACCGGACGGCGTGCGCGCTTGGACCATGGCACGACCCGGGGGCGTCGGGATGTATCGGGCCGTGACTTTGGGGCGGCGAAATTCGCACGACGCGAGTTGTCTCTTCCTCCCCTTACCCTCCGCGCGTCCTTCTACTCATCGCGCACCATGGCCTCCCTTGCTCGCGCTCGTTTCGCTGGTCGGCTGGTGCGTATTCTCCATTGCAGTCTGTACCGGAGAGGGGAACCGCGGAACAAACTCGCGCACCTGCGCGCTTACCGTATCTTCCCGCGTGTACTGACGCTTCCGCCAGGCATCCGTCTCCCGCCCAGTCGGGTTCGCGCCCTCGACTCTCCGCGCACGCTTCATCCAGACCTCCGCCGACACGACGCAGCTGCACGAATCTCCGTCCGACTCTAGCCAGCCGTTCAAGGTCAAGATTCATGAAGACAGCTTCCGCGCGTACAACTGCGAGATGCCCGAGCTCGACGTCGAGGTTACCAAGGACGAGCTCTTGAAGATGTACAGCCAAATGCAGACCATGCGTCGTATGGAGATGGCTGCGGACGCGCTCTACAAGGCGAAGCTCATCCGCGGTTTCTGCCATCTCGCGATCGGCCAGGTGCGTCGCATGTGTTGTAGTGTGCAGCACAACAGTGTTAACAAGCTTGCAGGAAGCCGTGTCGGTCGGCATGGAGCACGGTATGCACAAGGATGACCTCGTCATTACCGGCTACCGCTGCCACATCCAAGCCGTTCTTCGTGGCGGTACGATCAAGGGCGTGATCGGCGAGCTCATGGGTCGCCAGTGCGGCATGTCGAACGGCAAGGGCGGCTCTATGCACATCTTCACCCCTACGTTCTTCGGTGGCAACGGCATCGTCGGCGCTCAGGTTCCTCTCGGTGCCGGCCTCGCCTTTGCGCTGAAGTACTCGGGCAAGGAGAACTGCTCCTTCGCGATGTACGGCGACGGCGCGAGCAACCAGGGCCAGGTCTTCGAGGCGTTCAACATGGCGAAGCTCTGGGACCTCCCCTGCGTCTTCGTGTGCGAGAACAACAGGTACGGAATGGGCACGAGCGCCGAGCGCAGCTCCAGCAACACCGAGTACTTCAAGCGCGGCGACAAGATCCCGGGCATCCAGGTGAACGGCATGGACATAATCGCGACGCGGAAGGCGACCGAGTACGCGCGCAAGTGGACCGTCGACGACAAGCGCGGGCCGCTGCTTGTCGAGTTCGTCACCTACCGCTACGGCGGGCACAGCATGTCCGACCCGGGCACCACGTACCGCTCGCGCGAGGAGGTGCAGCGCATGCGCAGCACGCAGGACCCGATCCGCGGACTGCAGCGCTACATCGAGGAGTGGGGTGTCGCCAGCGAGCAGGAGCTCAAGGCGCTCGACAAGGAGGCGAAGGCGACTGTTGACGCCGCGGTCGAGGAGGCGAAGGCGTCGCCGGAGCCGGACGTCAAGGACCTCTGGACTGACATCTACTACAAGGGCACGGAGCCGCCCTTCATGCGCGGTCGTGAGCGAGAGGAGGTGAGTTGCTTCCCTGTGTTCTCGATCCTTGACATTATTCCGCTTTGACATCTCGTCACTTCGATGCCTTTGCCCTACTTTCACGTTCCCTCACCTTCATCCATGTTTTCATTCCCTCCCATAACCTTCGCTTCTCCGAACGTCTGTCCTGTTGCTGTGGGATTGTTGCTGACACATTTCTTCCAGGTGCACTACTTCTAGGTTTATAGACGGTATGTAGTGGATGGAGGCGTACGACGGCTGACTGCACCGAGGACCGGGTGCTTAGCGGAGGCCCGACATAAAATACGGGGCGTGTGTATATCTTAGAATCTACTATTCATGCGCGGGCCGTTTCACGACGTGTGCATATTCGTATCTAGTTCAGTCAGATCACGAAAGTAGGCTATGCCCCAGGACCCGAGAGGTCCTTCGTTGTTGTCTCTGTTGCGTTGCTTTACTAAGATCTTGTGGGTAGGCGAGTGCCGTCACCTGCGCAACGCTGCCATCGACTCACCCGGAGTCACCGTGACCAGATCGTGACAAAGGAAATATCGGTCCGACGCGCCACGTGATTAGGAGCTCGTCACCTGAAACTGCTTGAAGTTGCAAGACACGCCCATGGGCACTACGACCTGACATGAGAACATCTGCTAGACTCGCATCTCGTGGAGCTACCACCACCGAAGTCGACCGCGACATTGTTGCTAAGGGCTCAGAGTCTGCTTTCGATAATGCCGCGCCCTG